TGAGATAAGGTCCGGGAGAGATCACTCGCTGAACACCATCACAGGCAAAACAGACTCAACTTGGGGAAATCAAGTGATTTTCTTGCTAACAAGATCAGAGCAGGATAGTGTGAAATAAGACAGACCTTTAAAAATACATTTTCTCATTCCTCCCTCCTACCCAAACTACTTCCTCCTCACCAGTGGTGCAGGGAGAGGGAGAGTGGGGATTATGGTCAGTTCATCACACTAACACTGCTTCAGGGACAGGAGTCCTTTCCCTGCTCCAGTGTGGGGTCCCTCCCAGATGAGACATATCTCTATGAACTTCTCCAACATGAGTCCTTCCCACAGGCAACAGTTCTCCATGAACTGCTGCAGCGTGCACCTCTCCGCACGGTGCAATCCAGTCCCTCAGGGCCAGAGTGCTCCAACATGGGTCCCCCACAGAATCACAAATCCTACCAGGAACTCTGTTCTGGCATGGGTCCCCTCTCTCCACATGTCTGCAGGTCCAACAAAGGTCCTGATGGGTTCACAGTCTCCTTTCATGCATCCACCTGCTCTGGTGTGGGGTCTCCTTCACAGGGTGCAGGTGGATCTCTGCACCCCATTAACCATCAGGGTCTGCAGGGGGACGGCTGCTTCACCATGGTCTGCATCACAGGCTGCAGGGGATCCTCAACTCTTGCACCTGGAGCACCTCCTCCCCCTCCTTCTCTACTGACCTTTGTGTCTGCATAATTGTTCCTCTCACATATTCTCTCTTGTCTCTTCTCTGGCTGCAATTACTTCTGCACAGTATCTTTTTTTCTCTCCTTCTTAAATATGTTATCACAGAGGCCTTACTATCACCACTGACTGGCCTGGCTTTGCCACAATTGCAAGTCCATCCTGGAGCCACTGGCATTGGCTCTGTTGGACACCGTGAAGCTTCGAGCAGCTTCTCACAGAAGCCACCTCTGTAGCCCCCTCACTGGCAAAACCTGGCTATGCAAACCCAATACAAACATAAAACCACCTGTCTTCACTAGAGCTGGCAATTGAAGGATGCCAGGTTCCAAAAAATTTGCTTCTTTTCACACGGCATTTGACAGCTTC